GTGTTGGCCAGTTGCATCAAACTTTTTGAATATATGCTGAGTAGCAGTCTATGGTCGGCAAATGTCGGCAATCCTACCATGGCAGAACGTTGTGTGTGCAGCAAAATGGATGGCATTCCAAGATTCATGGGCTCCCATTCGACAAACTCTTGAAACGAACTAGACCTCAGGTTCAAGGACATGAATAGAGAGAACCCATGTTTCCAGGTTGCCAACTTCCTTCGTTCTTTAGCATTAAGGGACATGAGGCAGTTCACCAGAAGAAGTTATGCAAAGTACATTTTAGCCTCTCCAATCCCAATCTGTGCCCCAAGCTTTCAAATTTCAGTCGTACTGTATCTCACTACACAACGTCCACCTCTGAATGATATCTTCTGGTGATATCGTCCACCCTCTCAAGATGTATGTCTTTTTTGTGTGCTGGGCCACGTCATGTTCCTGGGATCGTGGCCGGCGAAAGTGGTCAAGGTGCTTTTTTGCCCATACTACTTGGGGATGATTCCCCTATACATTCACCATGATTCCAGTGAGGTCAGAGGTCACTATAATTTACCCAGAACATTATATACAAACCATTCTCAAGCGCTTTCACTCACTGCTTTCTCTTCAGGGTAGCGGCCAGGGCATCTGACTTTCAATTCTCTCCAATGTATGTCGGCCTGCTGATGTTTTTGCCGACAACACTTGTTCTGGTCTGGATGCTTCGATCGCTGCACTTGCAGACTTGCTAGGCATCGGGATATACCTGTTCTGCAAGTGCAGTCAGTAGTGCATGTATTGCTGAATCCGGATCCATGTCCAGCATGTCTTCTTTGTTGTCAAACAGACTGTGCAAGAGGTGACTGTACAAACTCTTAGAAACCAGCAACCAGAGGTGGTGTGATAAATCCAGATAAAAATCCCCAGTCTTTGGGGCCTTTTCTTTTTATCAATTTTATCCATGGATCCTGAACTGGTATCTGGCTAAAGGCCTTTTTCTATTTCACCAACCTGAATTAAGTTCGGCCATGGCTGGGGATGATTTACCACAAATTAACCATGATTTCCAGTGGTATGGATTCCTGGTGAGCAATATCCATCTTCTCTAAGGATCCACCATTTTTCGCGGGCTTGTCTTAAACATGATCATCATTGTCTCCATTGCCCTCTGGTAAACGTTTACATAAAAAGAACTGGAAAATATATCAACATTTTTAAGTTCGGTAAATGAACTATTTCTATAGCCATTTTCAATAGCTATTTTGACATAACCAGAGGGTATCATTTTGGGATCTCTTATGGCACTGTTTTGAGATAAACCCAACTAACATCTGGTTGGTGGTTGATTTCAACCCCTCTGAAAAATGATGGAGTGAGTTCGTCAGTTGGGATGATTTTCCATTCCCAACATACGGAAAAATTAAAAAATGTTCCAAACCACCAAACCAGAAAATTTTGTTGTGCCATTCTACAGCTACACTTGGATTTGCTTCAGGGATCCCCCCGAAGATTCACAGAAAATCCAAGTCCCCAAATTGCGGATGTTCCATCCCAGGTATAGAAAAACAGATCGTACTCCATTATAAAATATTATATACAGGGATAGACATCATTTATTGATCCCTATGGATCCAATCAATGTCTGAGAAGGTACTTAACCCCATCAATCATACCCCAAACACTTCCTAAGAAGGTACTTGGATCCATAGGGGATGGTAAAGTCACATTTTTCCAACTAAACTGTCCATTCTTCACTGGTATTAATTGATCCAAATGGCAGGCTAGATCCACCATGTTGATCAAAGCCTGTTCATTGGTTAAACCAATCGTTTTCATGCAGATTTCTCTATTTTTTCTAAAGTCCGTTAATGTTGATAGTAAAGTTCACCATGTCTGATGATGAAAGCCACTGTCTCAAGATATTCTAAGTTTGGTCAGATCGTGTGACAAAGCCAGAAATGTGACATCCCTCACGGTGCAGTTCCCCTGAACTAAGTGCTTGCATGTCACCATAACATTGGGCTTACTACAATTACCCATAGTCATACAACTTATTTTGATTCTCCCAAGTTCTTGGCCTAATTACAACTTCTTATGTTAACAAAAACCATATATAACCATAGATAACCATAGTTGATTGTATATGAGCCTTCATACAACCACATATATATATATCCATTAATATACACCATAATCAATCATCAGAAATGATGGTTTATATATCGATTATACATCATTTCCATTCATTTCCCATCATTTCACCACAAAAAAAATGGTGTATATAATGTTAAACATGGCTATATATGGATCATACACCATCGTTAATCATGATAAAAAATATATATGGGCTAAAACATATACAATATCCATATATAACTATACAGACTATACACTACAAAATATGGATTAAACACGGTTATAGGTGGATTATACACCATAGTTAATCATTTTTCACCATAGTTACCCTCTGGTAATTTAATATAGCTATTGAACATGGACATAGAAATAGTTGATTTATCCACTAAACATGGAGATTTTCTACAGCTGGTAAATCATAATATTTTGAATTAAGGCCATTTGGGGATGATTTCCCTTATTGACTATTATTGACCATGATTCCAGTGAGCTCGCAGTGAGGTCGTTATAATTTACCCAGATATATGGATTATATACAGCATTTTCAATAGCAAACTGTTATTTGCAATTATGCATTTAGTCATATATTATGGAAAATAAAAAATGTTCCAAACCACCAACCAGTTAATCATTATACACCATAGTTATTCACCATAATATTATAAATGATAATATGACTCACCATTTCACCATTTCACCATGATACAAGGAAAACACTATTAAAATATATAGTTGTAGTTGAAAACATATAGTTAATCATTATAAAATATGGATTAAACCATAGTTAATCATCAGAAGTGATGGTTTATATATGGATTATACACCATTAACACTATTAGCCATATAATCCATCATTAGCCATATTATAATGTTAACACTAATGGATTATACACCGTTAACACTATTAAAATATATTCATCATTTCACCACACAACAAAATGGTGTATATAATGTTAAACATGGCTATTTATGGATTATACACCATTTGTTCCAAACCACCAACCAGGTAATCATTATACACCATAGTTATACATCATTATATAGTTATTATAATCCATCATTAGCCATATAACAATGTTAACACTAATGGATTATGTACCATTAACACTATTAACATCTATTCACCATTGGATTTGTCTGAAAATAGGGTATATTCCCAATTATAGCCATTTAATAGGGATAATGATCATTAACCATTGGGTTTAGGGGTACACTATTTTCAGACACAACCATTAAATAATGGCTACATCATTTCAGCACGGGCCTTCCCATCCCGCTGCCTCCAGCTCCGGATCCTCCGCGGACAGGTCGAAATGCTGAGGCGATCCATCCGCCTCGCCCTGGACGAGGCGGAAGCGGAAGCGACGGCGGAGAAATCGCCGGTTTTTTTTTGGTTCACAGGAGGCCGGTGTTGCATCTTTTTTTTGGAACGTTAAGATGATTTAACCATATTTTAACCATATTTTAACCATATTTCAACCATATGTTGACGATATTTAATCATATTTAACCATATTTAACCATATTTCAACCATATTTCAACCATATTTTAACCATATTTAACAATATTTAATCATATTTAACCATATTTAACCATATTTCAACCATATTTCAACCATATTTCAACCATATTTTAACCATATTTTAACCATATTTAACAATATTTAATCATATTTAACCATATTTAACCATATTTAACCATCAAACATGGTGGACGATGTGGATTTCAAATCAATCTCTAAGTGCAAAACATTGGGAATTTATGTCAAACAAGATCTGTACGGGATGTTGACAAGATTTAACCATTAAACATATAAGTGAAATAGGAACTTAGGCAAAAAGCAACAAAAAACAACATGTGTACAATCATGGGTTCTTATATGGATGATTATGCAAACAAAATGGATAAGCAAAATTTGGTAAAAGATCAGGATTGAACCGCCTAAAACCTGCCTCTGTCTTCGGTGCAACGGAAGGGGACACCGTTGGCACGGTTTCGTCTTCAACCGTAAAGCCCTCCATGGCTGCTGCAATCCAAGATGATGCAAGGATGGGGGCGAGGGGTTGAGGAAGAGGATTATAACATATTATAACATGGTTTCATGATGTTTCATGTGAATTTCTATTTGAAATCCAATATTGATATCTGATCGGTAATTGAAATCACCAAGGAAAAGCCTCAAGTTTGTGACAAAGAGACTCAGACATCTTCATAATTATGGCTGAAGATCTCTCACGGAAACAATACAAACTAAAACTGTCTACATCCTGCATGTAGCATTGAGTTCTGACGTACATACGAGTAATATTACTGATTTGTGCATGGAAGTTTTTCACATGATACTCTTCTGTGCGTGATATGAAACAACAAGAAACTAGTACTTACCACGAAGGGCCACTGACATTAGTTCATGACAGTTCATGCAAACAACGTTTTAATGAAAGTCGAAGGCACACTCATGTAGAGCTACAAAGGAAGAATACTTGAATACATGCCCAATAATGCCCGTTTTCTTTTGGGTCACGCGCTCTCAGTTTCAGTCTATCTTTCTTGAGAAGCTTCACATTTGAGCCAGCAGGATGGCGTTTTGACCGGAAAAATCAATGACCTTTCCCCCGCTGTTTTGAATGCAAACATATATTTTGCGGCATTCCTTGGGTTTCTAATCTCTTGAACTCAGAAAACTCATTGGCGGCACCAATTTCCTGAAGGATCTTCTGTAACCCCGGATTTCCTTCCGGGCGCCGTTGGTGAGGCACTGCAACGACACGATCAACAACACCGGTGAATCAGGGCGAATCCCTATGAATGGGTGCTTGTCTGAAACAGGCTCCATCTGATGATATTTTCCCTTAGCTTCTAGTCTGGTAAGCCAAAACCCATAGTCACTATCCCAGCAAACATTCTATATAAACATGTTGGGCCATTTTGCATCATCCATCATCATCCCAATTACTACAAATATCGCAAGTAACGAAGCGACGTATTCGCTGCTAGCGCTTTTCTTCACGGCATCAAATCCGGAGTTGCGCTTCATTGCCGCGACCGGCCTGTCACCTGCACCGATAGAGATTTGATAACTTCTACAGCTCTGCTTTATTTCAGGTCATTATAGGTGCTTCAAACTTTAGAATTTTACCATCAGATTGATCTAATCTCATCGATGCTCATCGTGGCTTCAGTCTGGCCGCAGTGTGCCAAGCATGGCATTTCTTCACCTGGGTGTTTTTGAGGTGATCGGCAGGTTTTGAAGCTGAAAAAGTCACAAGAACAGTTGAGAAAAAAACATAAGATTGGTGGGTTTTGCCAGGATGTTGTTGTGGATTTGCCATGAAGAATGGTGGATACTTAGGATTCAAACATAGAAAGCATGGATTTAACCAAGGAATAACGGTAGATATGGGGTGTGGCTGAAAACGGGGTCTAGCGCCAAATTTTTCTGTAACCATCTTAAAGGGGACAATTCTTTTCGAAACCATTAGATATTTTCAGACACATCCAGATTCCTCTCGATGATCATTTGTCTTCTTCTTCTTCTTACTTCTTCTTCTTCTTCTTCCTCTTCTTCTTCTTACTTCTTCTTCTTCTTCCTCTTCTTCTTCTTCGTCTTGTAATGTAGTAAATCACCACTATAAACCATCCCCAACTGGTACTAATGGGCTGCCCATGGTTGCCCATGGTTGCCTTAATTGTTGACCTCTCCAAACTCTGTGATCAATATCAGCAAAAAAATGGCTGGGTCTATCTTGAATCTTGAATTTCTCCCTCGCTTGGGTTATAAAATAATTGGGTTATCCCAGAACTATCCACAACCACACGTTAGCTAACTTATTTGAGATAGCCGGTTTATGCTGGATATATCCATAGATGGGGCAATATCAACCGACAAACATCTGGGGGCCACACATTGTACGTCCTTGGTCGGGTGATCCCTAGAACTAGCTGATATATCTCCTCCAAGACCATACAAATATAATACATATTTCTTTTTACTCTCTCGTTATTTAACATAGCCATGGTATAGATGGCCCATTTATAGATGGTTTACCGAACTTAAAAATGGTGGATCTTTCCATGGCAAACTGTCAGCCATAACCAGATGGTAAGTCTTTCTTCCACATTTTCTCACAGAAAATGTATGTAAAATCCATATCTTTCACCATTATGGTTACCCTCTGGTTATGACTAACAGTTCGCCATGGAAAGATCCACCATTTTTAAGTTCGGTAAACCATCTATTTCCCATGGCAAACTGTTAAATAACCAGAGGGTAAATCCCTCACTCGAGATAAATTGGACACTGCAGAAACCATCCCACCCCCTGGGTCTCTCCGACTCAGCGATGCTGCAGACGGCATCCGACAGGCAGTTCGGGCCGCTGACACCGCACTGGATGTACTCTGTCCTGTGGAGAGCACCGTAATCATAGCTGAAAATTCATTACCCTCTGGTAATTTAACATAGCTATTGAAAATGGCCATTTATAGTTGATTTACCAATTAAAAATAGTGATTTTCCATAGTTATATATGTTAAATTACCAGAGGGTAAAATGTATGGATGTACGGTGAAATCACTGATTTAAGCAGCACACAAAAAATGGTACGTCTGAACATTGGGGTATGCCGCAAAAACCCCCATTAAAATTGTCATTTTAATGGGGACAAGATGATAAACCTCCCTAAATTCTTTCCAAGTTTGGGGTTTCCTATCCTTGGATTAGCTGAAAATGGGGGTCCCCTCCAATTAATTTAATGGATGAAGCCGAGTCATGCTGGAGTTTTCATTGGGAAAATCACCCTAGTTTTCACCATAGTTTTCACCATCTCAGACCCAGGTATCCTTCTGATATTTAGCATTTCAATAGCTATAGCAGCTATAAGGAGATGGTCTGTTTGCAGCCGTGCTGGGAATCTGTTGGGACCCAGGCCAGGTGTCTGTCCGAGGATTCAGTCAGTTGGGTAAAACTTCGTCGCAAATGAACAAGGTGAATCCCCCAACCAAAATGTGAACTTTCCCTGCCTCTAGCGGCACTTCGAAGAAAAAAACACATCAGAAGCAACCCGGGTCCATGAAAAATCACCGGTGCCCTGTCAGTAAAACTCACACTCTGCAGCCAGGACACGCGTACTTGATGTAAGTGCTGTCGCACTGAGTGTAGTTGGTGAGGTAGCAACCTGGATCCATCATGGCTGCGAGTGATTGCCATTAAAGATTTCTCGAGGGTACCGGTAGTCAAACATGGCAATGGCAAATACTGCATAGCAAGTACATTGATTCGAAACTATGCTCTTTTGCAAAATCATTCCAAACTAGAATAAGTTGTGACCCTCTTTTTGCTTCACAGTTACCCTCTGGTAAACTAACATAAACTAACATAGCTATTGAAAATGGCAATTTATAATGAGTTTTCCCATTAAAAATGGTGATTTTCCATAGCTATGTAAACGTTTACCAGAGGGTACGAGTGCTGGACCTTTCGCACCCCTTTTGACATGAAGTCACCCCACTGCAAGGCACAACGCGAAAAAATAAAGTCACCCCACGAAATCCAGAAGTCACCCCACCATTGGAAGAAAATTACTTTACTTCGTGTGATCCCCACCATGACATTTATACATTTTCTTACTGGCAAATCTTCTGGCATTCTATCTGACATATCTTCTGACATTCTATTTGAATTCTATCTGGCATATCTTCTGGAATATGATCTGGCATATCTTCTGGCATTCTATCTGGCAAATCTTCTGGCATTCTATCTGGCATATCTTCTGGCACTCTATCTGACATATCTTCTGGCATTCTATCTGGCATATCTTCTGGCATATATTCTGACATATCTTCTGGCATTCTATCTGACATATCTTCTGGCATATATTCTGACATATCTTCTGGCATATCTTCTGGCATATCTTCTGGCATATCTTCTGACATATCTATCTGGCATATCTTCTGGCATATTTTCTGGCATTCTATCTGGCAAATCTTCTGGCATTCTATCTGGCATTCTATCTGGCATATCTTCTGGCATATTATCTGGCATTCTATCTGGCATATCTTCTGGCATATCTTCTGGCATATCTTCTGACATTCTTTCTGACATTCTTTCTAACTTTCTTCTGCACATTCTTTGTCCCATATCTTCCTACATGAGGTCCGGCAGGGAACACTTGGCGTGGATACTCGCGGTTGAGGTCCGGCAGGGAACACTGGGCGTGGATGGTCGTGGTTGAGGTCCGGCAGGGAACACTGGGCGAGGATGGTCGTGGTTGAGGTCCGGCAGGGAACATTGGGCGTGGATGGTCGTGGTTGAGGTCCGGCAGGGAACACTGGGCGTGGATGGTCGTGGTTGAGGTCCGGCAGAGAACACTGTGGATCGCGGGTCGCAGTTGAGCAAGGACGACGAGGACGACGAGGACGACGAGGAGGACGAGAAGGAGGAGGAGAGGAGGACGAGGCAGGAGGAGGCGGAGGAGGAGGAGGAGAAGGAGGAGGAGGAGAAGGAGGAGAAGGAGGAGGAGGAGGCAACTGACATAAAATCTAACAACCCTCACCTGGCAGGTGGGGAAAAAACTTGCGGGAAACATCCTGTCATAGCACTTGACTACAAGCCGCATCATTGCAGTAAGGGGTATTCAAGTTTGAAGCCCTTTGAAAGGATTCAAATTATTTTGTGTTTAGCGATCTTTCTGTCTGATGATAGTGGGCAATCTACACAAATGAACCTGCAGGAATAAGGATTCCCCAAATGAATCCCAGTCCCAGTCCAAAGCATCGTGCCACTGCGATTTGCATCAAAAACTCAACATGCCCCAAAACATATGACTAATCTGGGATAAGGTGTCTAACAGCACTTCCCATAGGCACGACGGTTGCGAGACGACTTCTCGTAAAATGAGACGAGTAAGGTCTACTACCCAGTACCCTTTAGCAATTTCACCCGCTGGAAAATCACAAAAAATTGCAGCTGGGATTGTCCAGCCATCTTTTCCGGGTAGTCAGATTCACAAAGGGCTAGCGGATCAGCAGCATACGGCCGGATCCCCTGGAGTTTAGCATAGTT